CTACAAAATTGAAAATCAGCCCCCATAAAATTCTGTACTGAAATATATTACAACTCTACTAAACTGTATCATAAACCGCATTTGGTTCTCTAAAATGTCTTAGGCTTATTATATTTCACAGGGAATTTAGCAGGATTTCATGAAGACTGATCTAGCTGACATCAGAAAATACAGGAAAATCCTCAGAGGAAAAGCACAATCAAAATGCAAAGCAGTAATAAAGTCAACAACAGTTTCATACTACTTACTTGAAAGAACATTCAAAAATGTTAATGAATATATAAGTATAGTTTAACTATATTTAGGGATTTTTTTTAAAAGAATCACAGAATGTTTACATTTTTAAATTGGATGAGACCTTAAGTCACTAATTCAATAGCACTCATTATAAGAATCTACAGAATTTATCTCCATCTCCTTAGAAAATATGTTCCTGTATTCCACTTTAAATTCTCACAGCTAACTATTTCTTTCCCTTGTTGTTAGTTGTTGTGAGTTCCATTGTTGCTCCACTGTTCCACTATTCCAAGTCTAGTCATTACAAAGTTCTTACATTCTTGTAAAAAATTAGACTGAACGCAATCTATATCTTCCTAATTTTCACCTGTTGGTCTGCCTTCTAAAACAGGACAATGGATCTATTCTCACTCCTGTTTATTAAAATTAACAGGTTTTTTAAATGCTATTTACTGAAATCCAGGTTTCTTTAAACACCTGGAGACAGCTATCACATCTCCCACCCGTTAGTCTCTTCTTTAAACTAAATATATGTTCCATAGACTTCCTGTAGGTCCTAGAGACATTTTTGGAATACAACGTACTTTCACATTGCAACTTACTTTGTTTAAAAATGCCACTTGTTGAATTTTGATGTAATACCAAAGAAGAATACTCACTCCTTCCTTTTCCAACCATATACCTACATGAAGCTGGATTCTTTTCACGTATCTCAACCAAAACATCACAACAGACTGAAGGCAGACACAAAATCCAGCTGTCTTCTGGTAAGCCAGAAATCAAAAAATTAGCAAAAAATATAAAACAATGCCACTAGTCTAGTTTATTTGGTTTTGTAACATATCTATTCTTCATAAAAAATTCTATTTACAACAGTTTACTTTTAAATTAATATATTTGAAATTGTCATTTAATTTCTAAAATGGCAAATATTAACAGATATAATGCACATAAACTTAAATCTCTTTGGGGTCCTCAATAACTGTTAGGAGAGTAAAGAGGTCCTGAGACCAAAAGGCTATAAAGCATAGTCTATTTCTCATAAGATTTTCAAACCTCTATTCTGGTTTCTCTCTTTTCTCTCTCCTCTAATATGTAAATGTGCCAGTGTAAAGGAGACATCTGTCACATATCTATTCATGAGCTAGAATCCTTAAACACATAACCCTGTCCTCCTCCAGCTAGTGATTTCAAAAAATTAAAGGCCGACAGGGCCATCTGGTACACCTTCGTTTTTAACATCTCATTACCAAATCATCTGAAGTCAAATACTTTATTCTTCTAAGGAATACAGGCTTCAAATATGGAAACAGAGTAAGTTTAAGTGTAATTGTATTATCATGCCATCTTTTTTTTTTTTTTTTTTTTTTTTTGAGAGTGTCTCATTCTGTTACCCAGGCTGGAATATGACTCTATCTAGGCTCACTGCAGCCTCCACCTCCCAGGCTCATGCAATCCTCCCAACTGAGCCTCCCGAACCATGCCCAGCTAATTTTTCTATTTTTGAAAAGATGGAGTTTCACTATGTTGTCCAGGCTAGTCTTGAACTCCTGAGCTCAAGGAATCCACCTGTCTAGGCCTCCCAAGTGCTGGGATTACAGGCTTGGGCCATTGTACCTGGCCCATACTTTCTTTTTGACCAAGCTTTCACTATTTACAAAAAAGTTAAGCAAATTATTTATAACTGGCAGGGTGGAGCAGGAAAGAAAATGCAAGTGTTCTGTATAATCAATCATTTGATTCTCAGCAATAACCCATTCAAGGTACCCATGTACTGATATGCAAAACACCCAACTGCTTATCTAGCAAATATGACACTAGGTTCTTAGACCTCAACAGAGCAAAACTGACCTTTACTGGAAAACCTTTTTAACTCCTTACTCCCTTAATCACAGGATTATAGAAGACAAAATGGAATGGATATTATAGGTTTAAAAGATTCAACAGAAAATCTAGAGCTACACTGCTGAACACCTCAAACAGAACCTCAAGATTGGTAAGGGAAAAGCTTTGGGATCCAGAGGGAAGAAATCTACACTATATTTATCATATAACTTCCTAAATTCTAATAGATTCCCAAATCTTACAGAGCTGTACTTTATTTGTAATAAAACTATATGAGTATGATAATGGAAATAAGAAAAGGCGAAAGAAAACCACAACATACAACATCAAAAATAACCGGATTATATTCTTAGATTTTTGGTTTCAAATGTCAAAACTTAAAAATAAGTTAGTAACTTTTACAGATGCTTATGGCATATCTTTAAAAATAACCCATTTTTAAAGTTGTTTGCCTAAAAGGAGTTCATCACATAGTATATTATGTAAGTACATACACACCTGTATCTCTTTGAAGTTTAAATTCTTCTATTACTATATGTTAAACTGGCTCAATTTTTCAAGAAACAAACTTAGTTCTCTCCTTTATACATACAACACATTCAAATTCCATTAATATTAATGGTTCTTACTAGCAGTAACTAGCAGTCAAAAAGCTTTCTAAAACTTCATCAATTTATATAATGTACTAACATGTACACCTGGAAAAGGTGCTAAACACTTCTTAAAATAAAAATTGAGATTTCATTCAACAGAAATATCTCCATTTTGAGATTCCGGGCTTCGTATTCCTGTTAGCGTTAGTGAAATCTGAGAACACAGTGCCAAGCTTCAAAATGAATATAACCCTCGAGAGGATTAATAGTTTTAACTTGCATGCTGGTTGGTCAAAAAGAAATATCCGCCTGTAGCTATTTAGGTACTTGGTGTGAAGTGTAACTTTCACAAAAGCCTGTCCTATGATTTCATGAATTAACAGAAACTCACTACCTGAGGTTACATAAAAATCCACTGTAATCTCAACTGCTGGAAAAAATTATGGTTATTTCGAAGTTCAAGCTAAATGATTCCAACCCTTCCAAATTTTCAAACATCGGGAAAAGTGCAGAATGTTTTTAAGTTGAAGTAACCTCAAAAACTCACAATCTAGATGTTTTGTCTCCCAAATTCCCAATACTGATAACAGATGTCAACAGAAAAACAATTCAATACTATCTCCTCAGTAATGGCTCAATAAATATCGAGAAAGGAATGAATGAATGAATGACGAAAAAATATAGCCTTTAATAGAAACAATAAAATGGTCTTTTAAAACTCAACACTAACATTAAGCATCTTAATGAAACTACAAACAAAAGTAAACACATGCTAAAAGCACCAACTTCTCTATTTATGAAACACATTTTAAACCGTTCATTTAGAAATTTTTAAGGGCTAAAGAATCACCAGATACATTAAATTTTTAGTCACTTAATAAACTTTTATATTCTAATAATGAACGCTAAGCGTTGAGATAAGATGAAAAGGGGGAAACGTCTATCAATGCATTCCGAATGTTTAATGGATGCCATAAATCAAAGCTTTCCGTGAATTTTCTAGAGCATATTCATGCCAATCTTTAAGCCTATTGTCACTTTCACACATGCTCACAGGAACAAAATGACAAAGAATGCTATGTCTGAACCACTGGATTCAGGGCACAAAACACTTGATTAACAATTGTCAAGGCTCTGAATAGTAAATATCGACAGATACTTTCAAAATAAAGTACTCCCACCGATTCCTACATAAATCGAAGCTCTTGATTTCTTTAAAACATTCACGAGACTGTTGAACTTCCAGACGTTTATTTGAAAATGTGCCTACAATCTCCTCGTGTGCGACAACTGGGAGTGAACAACCCGTTTACCAATTGCGGATGAATACCACTAAGCGTTTTCCAGACAAAAGAGCGTTAAAAGACACTCCATGCACATTTATTCATCCCCCATAAATGTGTTTTCTCCTAAATTTTATTTTATGTCGTATACTTAAAGTTAAATACAGCAAGTTGAAATTTTAGTCAAAAGCACGCCGGTGCCTTAACAAGCTGTGTAACTGCTACATCTGGTGGCAGCACACTTGCTTGCAAGAAGCCAGAAAACTTAGAAAACAATTGTAACCGATCTGGTGCGTGTTTGCAGTAACCTTTACGCAGCTATTTCCCACAAAACCCACGACCCTGTCAGAGAAGAACAGTAGCCTAACTTGCAGCAGAAGAGTATAACGCACAAACACGCAGGAGGCAACCGCGAAGAAGAGAAAGTTGCAACCATCTGGAGGGGCGGTTTTAAAAACCTGCCCACGAGTCAGTCTGTCGTTCAAATTGCTCTAGGGGGCCACAGGGGATCAAAGTCTGCCTTGATAATTTCAGCGTCTCTCCCCAAAGGAGAGACCCTGCAAGCGAGGGGGCATCCTCCAGGTCCCGGGCTGCAAAGCTCGCAGAGCGGGGACCGCCTCTATGGGAGGAGTGCACCGGGGAAGGGGAGGGGGCTCGAGGACGAAGGCTCCCGCGGGAGGGAAAACCCACCAGAGACCTGAGGCCAGGAGGTTAAGAGTACCGAGTGTCCTGGCAAATGGAGCAGAAAGGGGCTCGCGTCCGAGGGGAGGCTTCCCACCATCGCAGGACTGGCTCCCAGGAACCCCAGGCGAGTCTGTGCGCCTCTCCCCGTCCCCACCAGCGCGCACCCCTTGTCCGTCTTCTCCGCCACCCGCGAACCACCACCCACAGCCAGCGCACTACCTCCCCGGAGCCGGGCGGCCTCGCGTCCACCTCGCCACCATCCCCCACCCCGGGGTCTGGCGGAGGAGCCCGGGGGGCGCAGGGGTCCGCGGCGCGGGAGTGGAGGCCCGCGAGCGGGCGGGGGCGCAGCGGCGCTTACCTTCCCTGGGCCTCCCGGATGGCGGCGTGTGATTCAGCAGGGACCTGGCCGCCGCCGCCGAGCCCGGGGTTGGAGACGTGGAGAGCTGGGACCAAGATGGCGGCCCCTCCAAACTTCCACTGCTACTTTGGACACTCATCAAGCTACTTTCTGGGAACCCGACTCCCCCCCTGCGACGGCAGCGGCGGCAACGGCACCGGCACCCGCCTCCGTCATGGCGGGGGCCGCGCTGAGGGCGAGTGAGAGAGCAAGGGCAGGGAGGGGAGAGTCAAGGGGATGGGGGAGGAAACCAAGAGGGGAGGTGGGGAGGAAAGAGGTGAGGGAAGGAGAGGGGACGGGGAGGAGGGAAAGGGGGAGAAGCGAGGGAGCGGGCGGGCGCGCCGGAGAAGAGGCGGAGGGAAGGAGCGCGGCGGCAGAGGCGTCGAGGGGGCGCCCGCCAGGGCCGGGGTCGGAGCGCGGGCGGAGCGAGGGCTGCGCCGGCAGAGGAGACTTCCGCGGGCGGAACCTGCCGGCACCTCTGCAGTGCGTCGGCCCCAGGCGTCGCCCGAGAGGCGGCGGCGGCGGCGGCGGCAGCGGCAGCGGGCGGTGGGTGGCGGCTGAGGCGGCGGGGTAACCTCTGCATCAGTTACAGGCGGCGGCGGCGTCACGCGCCGCCTGTGCAAACACTATCGCGAGGCTCCTGCGCCTCCGGTAGCGGCGGCGGCGGCGGCAGCGGCGGCCGCGGGAGCGGGCTTGGGGGAGGGACCTGCCAAGGGCTGGGGGTGGGGGCATGGGGAGGGAGCGAGCGCGCGAGGGAAGAAGCGCGGGCGCCTGGGCGCTCCTGCCGCGCCCGTGGATCGCCGCGCAGCGCGGGAGCTCGGGGTTGCCGGACTCGCTGGCGCGGCGGCAGCGTCCCAGCGTCGGCCGCAGGGAGGCGCGCCCCCGCCGCGCCGCTCCGGCCCCGGCGCTGCTGCCACCTGACTCCCCCTCTTTCCCGCGGAAGCGCGCCTGGCTCCTGACCCACACCCTACCCGGGGAGAAATACTGCTGTTCTCACTCGGCTGCCACTTCTCGGGAGTTCAATGTGTTCGTTTCTCAAAATGGAACTGAAAAGTTGAGAGTTATTTCCTTCTTGCCCTTCTTTACTGTGCAGAAAAACCTATGTGCGCCTCCCCGTCTGCAGAATGGGAATAATGACCGAATGAAAGAGCTATGAAAATAAGCGTGGGGAGTGGGAGAATTGGGAAATAAAACTTTCTCGTGTTTTCTAAAAAAAGAGTGAAGGAATCTTTAATGAAGAAATTGAAAATTACCGGTTTTGTACAGTATATGTTATAACAATTCTGTTTTAAAACAGTAAGTGAAAATCTAAATGAAAAATGTGATTACTGAATTTGCATATTTAGGAAGACTATACAGCATTCATCTTGTAGGAGGTATGGTTTCTAGAAATTTCTAATTTGTTTCTAGTGTCACCGCTGAGTCTCGACTACAAAAATCCCAAAACAAATTACAGCATTTGCTAAAATTTATAGATACAGTGTAGCTTTCTACAGACCCACACAAATACACTCACACCAGGGATCGGGCTTCTTGTACATAAAAGCAATCTAGTTCAGGAAAAATACAACAAGGTTATTTCTCTCTTTAGAAAACCAAATTGAATAGAGCACTAAAAAGATTATGATATAGAGCAACTGCACAGACATAAGGAAATGGCATGATTACCGGGGGACAAAAATGTCATTTCTATTTTTTATTTTTATGACTTTGCATTCCTCATAGCAATGTTTTGTTCAGATAAACTATCATACTAGAAAAGAACCTTGATTGTCAGTTATCTCCAGAAGCAATTGTGTTGTCCTGTGCTTCAGATACATCAGTGAGTTTTTGGTCATGTCTGCTTTTCGAACTTAAGAGGAACATCTCACAAATTAAACAGCTTCATTGAGGCATAATTGACAAACTGCACATATTTAAAGTGTACAATTTGATAAGTTTTGATGTGTATACATCTCCAAAACCACTTATGCAAGGAAGATGGTGAATGTATCTATCACCCTCCAGAGTTTCCTCTGTCCCTTTGTGGTTCCTCCTCCACTCTACTTCCATTCTCCATAACCACAGATCTGCTTTCTGTCATAGGGGTAGCTTTCTATTTTCTAGAATTTTAGATAAATGCAAATGCAGGCGATACAGTTTGTACATTTTTTTTTTTTGAGGCGGAGTCTCACTCTGTCTTCCTGGGGCTAGAGTACCATCTCCACTCACTGCAGCCTCCCAGGTTCAAATGATTCTCCTGCCTCAGCCTCCTGAGTAGCTGGGATTACAGGCATGTGCCACTACACCCAGCTAATGTTGCATTTTTAGTAGAGACGGGGTTTCACCATGTTGGCCAGGCTGGTCTTGAACTCCTGACCCCAGGTGATCCACCTGTCTCAGCCTCCCAAAGTGCTGGGATTACAGGCATGAGCCACCATGCCTGGCTTTTTCTGGCTTCTTTAGCTCAATATTATTTTGAGAGATTCGTCCACATTGTTGCATTATCAATAGTGTGTTTGTTTGTTTTTAAGTAGTATTCCACTGAATGAGTATACCACACTTGATTATCCATTAAACTATTGGTGGACATTTGCATTATTTTCACTTTGTGGCCATTATGAATAATGCTGCTAAGAACATTCACGTTCAAGTCTTTCTGTGGACATAGGCTTTCCTTTCCCTTGGATGCATACCCAAGGTCTTGCCATTCGATTTTTATACCTAAGTACATGCACTGTAAGGGGAAGCAGAGTTTCTGTAATGACATGTTGATAAATATATGCTCTTTCTGTATTTTTTTTTTTTTTTTTTGAGACGGAGTGTTTCACTCTTGTGGCCCAGGCTGGAGTGCAATGGCGCGATCTCGACTCATCGCAACCTCCGCCTCCTGGGTTCAGGCAGTTCTCCTGCCTCAGCCTCCTGAGTAGCTGGGATTACAGGCACACGCCACCATGCCCAGCTAATTTTTTGTATTTTTAGTAGAGACGGGGTTTCACCATGTTGACCAGGATGGTCTCGATCTCTTGACCTCGTGATCCACCCGCCTTGGCCTCCCAAAGTGCTGGGATTACAGGCTTGAGCCACCGCGCCCGGCTCTTTCTGTATTTTTAAGCAAAAGCTTAGCAGATTGCAGTGAAAAGAACATGGGACAGGAAGGAAGTTAAGAGACCTGAGTATTAGTCTCAGCAGGTAACTTGATTCAATTTTCTCATCTATGAGGAAGAGGTTAGAGTCACTGGGTGATATTTGAAGCTCCTACCAACTCTGAGACTACAGAGCTAAGTTCCTCTCAAAAATGGTAAACAAAGCCCAACGAAAAAGATTTGATGATGGTAGGTTATCTTTCTCCCAACCTTCTCTAGAGCTTCAAGTTTTCAAGTTATCCTTATTTATGTTACTTTTTTGGGGGGTCATGTAGGCTTGAGTGCAGTGGTGCAATCTCGGCTCACTGCAACCTCCATTTCCCAGGTTCAAGCAAGTCTCATGCCTCAGACTCTTGAGTAGCTGGGACTGCAGGTACCTGCCACAATGCCCAGCTAATTTTTCATATTTTAGTGGAGATGGGGTTTCACCATGTCGCCCAGGGTGGTCTCAAACTCCTGAGCTCAGGCAATACACCCGCCTTGGCCTCCTAAAGTGCTCGGATTACAGGCATGAGCCACCACGTCGGCCTAAGTCCTGTTACATCTAATGCAGGTTGGCTACTTTTATCTTTAATGATAACTAGAGAATTACAGCATATATATAATCGAATTACTTTAGTTATATTTTCATTGTGAATACTTCCTTAGAAGGACAATTAAATGTTTGATTCCTGTCTTCTCATAGTTTTTGATAAGCCAGCACTCATCAATCTTAAAAAAAAAAAAAAAAAGGCGGGGGTGGGGGCCTCTACTGGCAATAGGGAGTTATTTAAACAAACTGCAGCTTAGCATGAAAATTGAATCTCATTGAATGCCATTAGTTAAAATCATGTCTTCAAAGAATACCCAAGAAGATAACATTTTCACACTATAGTAAGTGAAAAAGTGGGTATAATCTGGATTTATTTCTAAGAATGCATCAAAAACAACTGGAACTACTCAGGAGGCCAAGGTGGGAAGATCACTCCAACACAGGAGTTCAAGACTAGACTGGGCAACATGATGAGACCCTACCCCTTTAAAAAAAAAAAAAAATTGCAAGGATGTGCCCCAAAAAGTTAATGACAACTAGCATTGGGCTGTGAGATTACATAGTTATTATTTCTTCATTTATGCTTTTCCAAATTTTGTAAAACAAACCATGTATTTCTTTTTATATTCAGAAAAAGTTCAATAAGTGCTTTTTAAGTAATTGAAGCATACAAAAGGCCTCTGGACACAAGTTGTGCAAATACATAATTTTGTAAAATGATTATGTCAAATAAATGAAAACTTTTAAGTGGTAAATAGAAGCTCCTCCACACCTTGACATTTACAAGTATATAGGCATTCCAGAAATGTCCAATAAAAAAATAGATCGAGGCCAGGCATGGTGGCTCACGCCTGTAATCCCAGCACTTTGGGAGGCTGAGGCAGGAGAATCACTTGAACTCAGGAGTTCTAGACCAGTCTAGGCAACAGAGAGAGACCCCATCTGTATTAAAAAATAGATTCAGACAGAAAGAGACCACCTGCCACTCTGTAGGGAAGAAGAAATCTCAAGAGCAAGAAGAGATCACTGGAAGCTTTCTGGCAATCTTCCATGGGAGAATATTCCCAGAGGGAAAGCCAGCTTGAAAACAGAAATGCACTCAGCAAGTAAAATGTAGTAAACTTACCTAGAAAGAATCAGGAAGAGACTGGAGAGAACGTTCTGAGTGATCCATGGGGACAGAGACTTAAGCCTCTAGTACAGACCAAGGGCTCTGTCAGTATTGTGGAATGAATGAATGACGATGATCAGCGAGCTGGGAGACAGGTGAAAGGACAATAAAGGAGAAGTCTTCGAGGGTATCCTGATGGAAGATCAGGTGCAAAAGAAGAAGGTCTGAGCCCCGATCTATAGGATGGTCATAATTTACAACTATGTTTAACAGATTCTTTTTCTATTTCTATGCCATAGTAAAAATAGTTACAAAGCATTCAATATTATAGACATATTAAAATACATTTTATACTCTTAACATTTGATTCCTTCTAAATTCAAGGAAAAAATTAATGCCTAAGCCACCTAAGCCCCTTTCCTCCAAATCAATAAGAAATAAGCCCAGAGACTAGATGAGGTATCCTTTCTAAGTACTCCAATATAGTGGGATACTGGTGCCTGTTCACAATGTCCTGGGAGAAAATTACATACATGGCTTCCCAACTTCATATTCAGTACTGTTACATGTTACAATTGTAGCTTGAAGTTAGTCATGGTGAGAGTACTTAGAACTCTTAAGTCACCAAAGCTACAAGTTAGAGCTGCTTCTCCCCATCAGAGCCAGTTATTAAGCATTCACCAGCACACCACTGCTCCCATTATATATTTGTCATTGCTGTACTGTCCTCTGATTTCTGTTTCCCCCTCTTGGCTGAAAGCCAAGGGAGGTCAAGAATCCTTCTCTGTAATGTTTGCAGTTGTATTAATACCCAACATCTAGCACCTGCCTTGTATACAGTTGTGGAGCCAACCAACTACCTACACAGTTGGTTAAGAAGCACTGGAGTCCCCTGAGCTAATCTGCTCATGAACATGTGGGCTGACCATCTAG